ATTGTATAATTTATATATGATATATAACTTAATTCGCTGGCGGAGGTATGCTTTCTTTGAGTGCCCCGTACTTTTTGATGTTTTGTTTTGTACCTGCCTAAGCGCTTACTCCAAACAAAAGTTTTTGAAAAGGAGCCGGGGTTTTTGACCGGGGTATTTCATGCTATTAGAATAAAAATATTGCCCTGTGTTGCTGGGCATTTGACGACATTTGACATAGGCGGAAGTCAAATACCCCGCTATGCCCCGGCCGGGGGGGTGCGGGGGTTTACATTGACTAGTGCATAATTGCTGTTCCAAAGGTTTATTTCCCTTCTCTCAAAATGAGGAACATAACAAGAGAAAATAAACCTCTGGAACCAAGCTGTGCAGGTCACATATAAACTTTGCCTGCCTTTATTATTGCTCAATTTAAATATTTGTGCACTCAATTATTTAATTTTCATATTTACTTATTTATATTCAAACAACAAACAACTTTTATACCTCTGCAGCTTCCAAAAGTCGATATTTTCCTTCAGTAACCTGCCAAATCTTTCCTAATTCTAAATCTTCTTTGAGAGCCCCTTTAATCTTTCCTTTTAAATTATGATGATAATATGGATGACTTGTCATGACCCACTTCTCAATATTCACCATACAAACTCCTTGTCCCGAATCTAACTCTTTTAAAGCTTCATGAATCCATCTTGCCACTCTAGAAGAACGTCCTGGTACATGGCTAACACCTTTTCCGCTCACATTACGATAAGATATCACTCCTTTAAAAGCTCTACGAGTAACAAGCCCTTCCTGAACCATAAGTTCTATATCACGAACAGTATCAGCATGGCTGACCCCGTGGCACTTGAGCATTATTCTACATATGCGATCTAGGTCTGAAAACGCCGATCTACGAATTCTAACCAAGTTTATACATTCTTGGATCCAACTGGCATATTTTGGACGGCTGTTAGCCATTAATCTCACTTCAATTTATATTTTTCCTCTACGTTTTTAGGCCGACATGATCAGATTCTATTTTACAACAGCATTAATACAGCAACAGGAAGCCAACTCAGGCTGTGGCGTCACGCGCCCACGTTAATTTGATCCTACTGTAAGTACTTCATTTTATAAGAATCGCACTTTTACTGCGGTTCGGAACCTGTGTAGCCTGCTCACAGACGTTGTTGTTCTTACGCCAAGCGACGAAATACTACCAGAACCTGTGGTGACCTGTCACGGTTGTTTACCATTTACATGGAAAACCAATCCGGTTTGAAATTGTGCCCTAATGGTAAGCAAAATTTCGGATAGAAAATCACATTCGTATTATGCGCCTAGCCCGCGTACAGGCATTGCTCTGGGTACGAGATTGTTTAGAGTGACTGACCGGAAGGCACTGAAGGGTTGTTTACCATTTACATGGAAAACCCATCCGGTTTGAATTAAATCGCGAAGAGCCTGGAACTGGTGAAAAAATAAAAAAGATGTAAATGGAACAAAATTCACCGGTTGAAACGTTCCAATCGGTAAGAGAGGACAACCTATTCAAACAAACCGTTCATTCCGGAAACGTTCCGGTTGGGCCCTCGAAATATGCTTGTTCCATTTACTTTCCGTATGGAATCACTGGAATTTCCATGTAAATGGTAAACAACCCGTGTCAAAAAATATTGAACCATGGTCCACGTATGTTTTTTTCTCAATGAAATGTATCACAACGAAATGAATCAGCATGAACACTGAAATTTGAAAAGCAAGCAAAACGCTTGGTCGAACCTGTCCGCTTCTCAGTGTAAAATTTTGTGAATTTTCAAGAAAATTTGGTAATAAGTTTTTTTCGGTAAAATTTTGGTAAAATCTGAAAGGTTTTAATTATTAATAATCATTTTAGTAAAAATGTGTGTTTCTTGTTTAATAACGTGCTCAAAGTGATGAACAGAACTGCCAAGCCTAAGAAATAAAGCCTTATCATTAGCAAAAACTGTAATACGAGATGTAAGTCCCGCTGGTACTACATTATTATGTAAACTCATGTACAGTTATTGGTGTGACAACTGTTGTAATTTAAATATACATGCACCATTATTAATTAAAATCACTTAAATTACAATTAATAATATAAAATCACGTTCATTAATTAAATTACCAAATTTATCATATTTATTTAGCAAATTGTATTTGCGGCATTTATGCACCTTTGTGACGACCCAATGGACTTGAGGCAAGTAGTTCCAACAACTTCTTGTCGTCCAGGAGATGCATGCATACCGAGAATGTCAATGCGTCCATTTTTCGTCTTATAACGCCAAATATTGAAGAATACTGAGAACGAAGTCGAAGGAAATGCATGTCGTGTTTACTGTAACTGCCAGCGTAGAAAGCTCGAGATATGCATGCAGCGATGTTCGATATTCTTTCAGGAAAGTGCTGTAGAGGAAAATGACGAGAAATTAGAACCACTAGGGTATCAATAAAACAACTGATACTGGTATGTATTTCACTGTATGGAGATATGAAGTGATAAGGAAGCAATGCTATAAAGTATAAACGTGCAAGTCATAAGAGCAAATTCTGGAGCAGTCTATAAAATCTAAAATAAAAACTGTCTAAAAGCAGTTGCAAGTGCATGGATTTGTTTAGTTAACGTTTTCATCTGCAAAACGCAACCTCCAAAAACCTATACTCACTAATGCTACATGGTAGATATTAAGGATTTAAAAGTTCTAAGGGACGGACCATTTTTTTGGACCTCACCGACTCCGCACGATTTTTTTTATCGAATCTTGCCGCGTGCACGATATTTTTTTAAATTTTTACTATAGCGTTAGTACAATAATAACCACGTATGGTTATATTCCGGTTGAAGAATGTATTTGAATATACAGCATATAACCACAAAATAGGAAAGTATAGCAGAAGTGTAACCCACGAAAATTTTGACTCGCTCACAGTTTTGATAGGTACAAAGTGCCGGTTGTACTAGCCAGGATGGCGTGATTGATGATCGGACGAATCGCTTGTAAAAACACGGACAAATACTTGCTTGAGTGAGACTTCTGGTATACCTTCCTATTCTATGATATAACTATCACAGCCCATTTTATACTTGGCCAATTTTATACTTGGCCCATTTTATACGCGGCTATGGTCTACGAAATGTAGACCATAGTCCCAATCAAAATTGGATCAAGTGTATTAAAGTGTGTAACCCATTTTGCATTGGCGTAATGGCATCTATATACAAATTCTCACGGTTCTCAATCGTATCAGTGTTCCCAATACGTATTATAAACTGCGATTTTTATTCAGAATCAGAGAGCGATATTAATGAGCCGGGTGGTAAAGGGTATTTTGTGACCCGTGAATGCAGTGGCGTAGCCAGACTATAATTTTTGGGAGGGCATATATCTAACGCCGAAGGCGTAAGCCTTTTTAGGGGGGTCCGGGGGCATTCTCCCCCGGGAAAATTTTGAAATCTGGAGTCCCTCAATGGCGATTTCCCGTGTTTCTGGGGAGAAATTTTGCATAATTCTGAAGATTATTTTGCATAATTCTGAAGATTATTTACTGCAGGAAAGACCTGATTTTTAATGATTTCTCAATAATGTGGATCCTTAATTTGACTCAACGAAGCTTACTTGGTCGCGTGTGAATAGTTAAATCGAAGTTTTAAAACGCATTTTAAGGTCTTTTAACCAATAACCACCATAGGCATTATTTTCTGTAGTTAGATTTAGGAAAGATTAGAACTTTTATAGACAATTTGGTGAACAGATGAGATTGGTAGTCACATGGGTAGTCATCGTCCCCCCCCTAATTTCTACCCGGATTTCATCTTTTTACAAGGGCAGTCCATCAGCCTATTGGGGGGGGGCTGAGCCCCCCCCCCCCTTGTCTACGCCACTGCATGAATGGTCAATATTTGATCGTGTGAAATGCTTGAGTTTACTGTCATGATCTGTGATTTGTTCTACAGCCGTGAGGCGTGATTGTCGATCAAAAAATGCTCCGTGAAATGGGAATTAAGGATGTCTGTTTCGTGAACTGTGATTTTGATTTGTTTATTCCGATCTATTTTATATTCGCGATAATAATTTATATGATCGATCTCACTCGATTGCACAAGAGTAGAAACGTGAAACGGTATTTTTTTGTTGTGAAACGTGAATCATACCCCCCCCCCCTTTCCCACCCTCATTTAATAATCGATGTCGAATTTACAGAAGTGTGGGACTTTCAGTGTTAAGATTGGGGTTTTTAGGGATACCATTAAGGTAATTTGTGGATAATTGAATTATTGAAGTCAAAGTTGTCAGAACTGGTTTGTATCGGTAATCGGTTTGTATTTTGCATGTATACTTCCGGTATTGTTAACCAAGGCAGAACCGAAACACTCAACAGAAAAAAACTAAGGGAAACTGAATTTTTCTTTCAATATAGAGTACTGCTAATTTAGAATTTTTTTGTGCTCGATATTTTTTTTTGCTGGTGTT